AATCTGTCCCTCTGTCTGTCTCTCTCCACCTCTTTCCTCCCTGCCTGTCTGCCTGTTAGTGACAGCAGCTGTGCAGGGAGACATCTAGCAGGAAATTCTCTGTCTCGACTGGCTGTCTTCTTGCCTGACAGCATAGAAGCTGAGAGCTGGAGAATCAGGAAACAGCTTTTATCTTGTCTGTCTCCCGCCTTTTGCTCCCAACTCCCACCTCTGCTTCTGAGCGGAGACGCTGAGAGAGAGACGGAGAGGGAAAGAGAGGGGGGGGGGGGGGGGGCCGGATTAAAACAGGGCAGAGTGGGGGAATGGTATTACCCCGAGAGGAATGAAAAGAAAGAGAAAAAGCGAGACAGAAAGCTGATGCCGGAGTCTCTCTAAGAAATATCTATTTCTTCCTTCGTCTGTCTTTCTCTCACTCCGGTTTCCGTGGCTCTTTTGATGTACTCAGACAAACCCACAGTGCTGCGATGGGGAAACAGGCGTGCAGACACAACACAACAGATGAAGAGTGTCAGCTGGTGGTTACAGGCTCACACATGCTGCTTATCTCTCTCTTTCTCTCCTTCTATCCTCCCAAATAACCGCATTCTCACTTTCGCTCTCTTTCCGCTCCATCTTTTTCTTGGCATTTTCTCCCTTCCTCCCGGCTTAGCTGTTGGAGTGAACTTGAGATCAATCATCTCTCAAATATTTGATCGCCAACAGAAGATCGCCAGCCGGGAAGCTTCGACCGTGCAGCTGAAACCATTAGCACAAGGCCACTTCTTTATTCAGGTAGTAAGGAATCCCCGTCTCAGGTGCTTTTGTAACACTTGAGTTATTATTTAGTCAAACTGTAGTGTAATGCAGAAACACATGCAATGTAGCTTATGTAGACACCTTGTCTCTACGAACTGTCCCCTTATTTCTTCCCTATCTTCCATATTGCAATGTTGTTTGGGAAAGTCCTTTTCTGACTACTGAGAAATGTGTTGTTAACAAAATCGGAGTCACAAATCTAATTTACTCCCTGATTCCAGAAATTGCAGATTCACACTATTGAAGACATCAATGCTTCTGAAATGTATGTTTCTATTTATAATGTCAGGTGAAGGTGATATTAATATTCAGGGGAATCCAATTATGGAAAGACTTTTCCCACCAGAACAATAATTTTACATTATATATTATAATATTACATTATATATTAATTTTTTGTGGGAGGGATGCTGGAGGCCTCGTTATAATATCACAGATTTTTGACATATATATATATATTTATTTTTCAATTTCTCAACTTTATTTGTAGGTTTTGATATACCATTTCCTCAGAGGGAATGTTGTAGCAACGGATGTTAATACATACCCGCTTAACCATTAACCAACAATACAAATTTTGACCCATTATTGCAATCAATTAAACAGAAATATTATGGAAAAGACAAAAGAAAACAGCTAAGCAAACTCAAAGCTTCAGCTTTTTGCTTAAAGGAGAACAGCCGGTCCACCTTAAAGGTAATTCCCCTTAAGTCACACTGTGCTTGAGCTGTTGCTAACTTTGGGGCTGACCTCCTTCACTTTAATCAGCAGGTGGCCGGCAAGAAACAGGAACTCGGCTTGGGTCAAAGGAGATGCATTTATTCATATAAACCGTACACGCTGCACTGCTACATTTACAGCTATAAACGCTACTGCTGACATGATTCTCTCATCACTCGCTAACAACAGCCTTGCAACTGCTCCAACTACACAGTATGCCAGGTAGACACACCGCTAACAACCGCGCAGCTAAACTAATTGATGAAGGACTTGTCCATGACAGTGCATGCGACATTGTGTCTGTTAACTCTCCCGGACAGGGGGACCTGGGACCTGGTTGCTTGTATTGCACATGCACTGCCGCTGGCAATAAATGATGGATTTAAACTGCTAGTGGAGGCTCGTTAGGCACTTCAGCCACAGCACCTACTCTACTGGTAAAGTAGGGAACCTCTATCACAAGAACTTGATAATACAGTATGATATGGCAGGAGGTGCAATGTAACAAATGTTATTATTATCATGGCTAATAACTGAATATAGTATCGGCAGCAGTATGACTCAAATGCAGTATGGTACAGTGTTATTGAAAAAAATAATAGTTTATTATTAAAGTATAATGTATAAATATGTATCAAATAAAGTAAAGTATATAATAAAAAGTCAAAAAGAGAGTCCCAACAAGCAGATTAATTAATGTGCAACACACTAACCCAAACCCTGAGTAACACAACAGGTTGCTCATTATATGCGTTTCTACATTGATGGGTGTGGAAAACATCAGGTACTTGTGCTGGGCACAGAGGATCCATAATGCCTGGATCAGATTTAGAGCCACTCTAATCTTCAGTCAGCACTTCTGTCACACATGTAATGCTTTTACTGCACTGTGGTATGGCTGAAGAGAGCTGCATTATTGTATTGACTAGACAGACACTCGGATATGCAAATATGAAGGATGACACACACAAAGATACACAAACACACACTAAGTAATAATGACCTTGGAAAAGTAGCTCTCCTAATTGTAAGTGAGTTTCAGAAAGCTACTTCACTTTTCGCTGCTTCAGAGGCATCGCCTCTCTACCCTACAGTATCTTTCATGGTTCTGTGTGTGTGTGTGTGTGTGTGTGTGTGTGTGTGTGTGTGTGTGTGTGTGTGTGTGTGTGTGTGTGCGTGTGTTTGTGTTAGACTCTTCATTTGTTCAAGCTGCAAGGCAAAGGCAAAAAGCAGGTAGGACGGAGGAGCCTGTAGTGCCAACGGGCTATTCTTTGAAATATCTAGGAATAAAATGTACATTAATGAAGACTCGTAATAATAAACCAGACCAAAACAAAGCCTTTGTCCACTCACACTAATAACATTCTTTCGCTGTATCTATTAAATGATTTCTTGTGTGCATAAAGTATTTGCAAATAAGTAGTTGATCATGAAGAAAAATACCTGAAAAGACTAATTGGAAAAAGAACTCTCGGTGAATTAAGACCAGAGCAAGTAGTTGACTGATCGATTAAGAGGTTGCTGCCCGCAGGACACATTTTTATTTTTTGTTTATTTAACATTTTATTTCATATTTCAATATGGCTCATATTCAGTGTTACCATTAGTAGCGTGTTGTTTTGTAGAGAGATGAGGACACGTGTGTGTGGCTCTGTGTCCATTTGTGCATGTGTATGTCAGCATCTGCTCTCTGTTAGTGTGTGTGATGTGATTGTGCTGTTGCCTTTGTAATGTGACCGTGTGTGTGTCTGTGTGCATTGCATTGGGGTCAATGGTAATTTGAAGTGTTAACGCTTGGTTTCTCCCCAGCATGATGATTTCCTCTGTCAGCAAACTGTGAGCTGGAAAATAGACCCATATTATGATTAACTTTAATGGTCAAGGATTCCACATCTTTCCAACAAAGTCACCGAAGATTAGGGCGTTCAATGACGCTTTCCTCTGCTTTGCGCTTTATGTTCAGTTCACTTTAGTCCTCCGCTGTTTTGTTTGCTCTGTTAAATTCCGCTCTCTTCTTCTCCGTGTAGGTTTCATCTTGTGCCATGTAACAGTCGCTGGCAGGTAAGCTGCGACAGACAACCCCAAATATTGTATATTTAATCCCTAATACTGTCTCAGAGAACAGGAGTACATCTCACCTGTACCTGCGTGTGTATTAACTGTAGCATGCCCTTAGAATACGTGACTGTAAGAAAACCAACTACTTCTACTCCATTTGGTCCTCACAGACTGGCTGCAATACGATATTTATTTATAATTTATTACCATTTTCGATCCCTAACGAACTACCCTGACACCCACATCTTAATGCGAGTGTGCAATATGTAACTTCTGGGAAATATCGCCCTAATCACTGAAATTGGTCTGATTACACTATTTTGTTGAATGTGTTTTTTTGAAAAAACATTTTCAGGTGTATGAGAGTGAGAGGGTTGCAGCAAATTGTTAAGACAAAATTACTGTAATTTAATCATTGAATCTGCTCGTCCACTTGCCTCCGGTAGGCTCACACTATTAACGATCTGAAATGGCAATTTATTTTACATGTGCTCTAACAACTATGATATCAAAGTAAGCCTTGAATTATTGGAACATGGATACAGCTTGTGGGTTTCATCTTATTATGAGGAAGAAAAAAAAAGGAAAAGAGCTGTATTTGTCTTTTCTTTGCTGATACGGGGGGGATAAGGAAGATTAAAGACGTCTTGTCCTGACAACTCGAGAGAGAGACAGTCTGACAGGACTTAACAAAACCCATCACAGAAGAGGAGAACTTCAAACAGAATCCAAACCTGCAGACGATGGAGGAGAGATGCAAACCCACCACCTCGGGCTCCGTCTCTCTCTGCCTGCTCGCATGCCCGTCTGTCTGCCTCCATACCTGACTGTCTGTCAGTCCGTCTATCTTTCACTCTACCCGTGTTAGAAAATGTGGCATCCATCCTGCAGCACCGCTGCTGCTGCAGCCAATTTTTCCTCTCATGTTGCAAATTAGAGATCGGCTGTCATGTTATCATCAACAAGCTGTTTCTAATTCAGCTGCTCCAGATTATCCAGAAAACACTGCGTTTCACATATCTCTATTGTGTACAACACAAGGCATATCTTTAAATAGCACTTTGACATCAAGTCAGATGTAACAACTGTTTGGTTTGATTAGCATTTGTGTGTCTGTGTGTGTGTGTGTGTGTGTGTGTGTGTGTGTGTGTGTGTGTCAATGCACGTAGGTGTGTTTGTGTAAAAAACACTTAGCTTGGCGGACAAGCTGTCACCGCTTTTCTGCTCACCGTTTCCTGTGAAC